CTAATGTAACAGCTTCAGTAAATTTTGCGAGGCGATTGACTCTACACCTGCAACAGCGAGACTGAAGAAGGCTCTAGCAAAAGAGTGAGTTGATACAGTTATGACATTGGTGACATTAAATAGAAGCTTCACGGAGATTAAGGAGGAAAGAGCTCGCTTCTTACTCGAAACTTACTTTCCTGGGAGCGCACCTTTTCTAATAAGTGACACAATTAAGGTTAACAGACCCTTAAGAGAGGCCGCTGTAGTGGCCAAACAGAGATGCAGCAGCAAGCAAGCAGTTATAGTGAGTCATGAACACTTTTGAACCGTTTAATTCTCCTGGTGCGAATGGAATATTTCCTGCCCTGCTTCAGCGAGTACATGAAGAATTACTACCACACATAATCCGGATATCCCGGAGCAGTCTGGAACTGAGTTATATACTAGAATCATGGAAAAGGGCCAGAGTCACCTTTATTCCAAAAGTAGGGGAAAATTGATATCACACATTCTAAATCCTTCCGACAAATCAACCTCACATCCTTTGTATTAAAAACAATGGAGAAGGCTGTTGATAATTATATCAAAACAGAAATTCTGGAAATAGTGCCACAGCCAGCACGCGTACCGATCAGAAGGATCTACAGAAACTGCTCTGGTCCAGATGGCTGATTAAATCCAGGATGCACTGACAAACAAAGAAACGGTCGTGTTCTAGATATAGAAAGAGCGTTTGACAACACGTTCACGAATCTGTCAAAAGAGCACTTGCGTACAGAGGAGTAGAAATCACTACATCCAGATGGATGGCTCCGATAAGATAGAACACTATCTTGATCTGCACAACCAGAGAATGTCCACAAGAAGTTCTAACCTCATCAATGTGGAGCCTAATTGTAGACAAACTTCTATGGGTAAGTTCGGTTTGGAACTCGACGGATCGGACAGAGTACGCACGGAGTGCGTGACGTCATAGACAGAGTTCTTCTTTTTATAATCTCAAGACGAACACAAGGGGAATGACAAATGACACTAGTGATAGTTTTCACTTAAATACACTTTTGTGTGTGTATGGACTGTAAAAAAATAATTTTAATCAAATAGAAAATAGTTATAACAGAAACAAACAAGAAATAATACGTGTAAAACTGATTAATCACCGATCAGAATATTGACATTTGACATTTTTGACACATTCCTACAGATACCCGCTGATCTCCATCGGTCAACTCGGGGAAGAGTGAGCGCGCTCCGAGTACGTGATCTGTGGCAAGCCGAACACAAAAGAGTACGCTCTGAGTGCCAAGACGACCACAATTGAGGCATACCGAGTGCACTCTGAGTACAGCGAACGCCAAACCGAACTTAGCCAAAGTAGAGTGGCATACACTGTCAAGATTATGCCGACGACATAAGTCGTTTTCCTTTGACGTATGGTTCTGGTTATGGTTGACGTTAAATTGACAGTATTTTTGACAGCGGTTCAGATTTTGGTTCATATGGATGACGTCATAACAAAAGCCATTGGAATGAATTGGGTTATTGGTTCGGTCAGTCATATGTCATTTTGGTGTAAATTTAAATACCACGTGTGACTCATTTTTAAAGTTAGTTCTCAATTGTATTTTTAATTTTTTTGTGTAGTTAGTTATTTGCCAAAGAAAACACTAAAGCTATATGATATAGAAGAAAAAATATTAACTAATATAAAAATAAAATATAAATAAAATAGACTCTACCTACAGGGCAATTAACAGACGAAAATAATACTAACTAATTTAAAACTCTTTAAAATAAAATAGAAATAAAACCGACACTACCGACAAAGCATTTAACGAACGATGCAGACCTTTTTCTAGCGATAAACAGAATGATAATCTTCTTTTGGAGTGAGGGTAGCCATATGTGAGTAGTAGGGATTAAGTGTAATTAAGTGTAATTTAAGTGCAATTTAGATTTTCTTTCCATTAATTTTTGCCCATTCGCATCTTATTAAATTTTTTAGCTTATTCAAATTCTCCCACGTGGTTGTCATACGCCAAAATGTGACTTTTCTTTTTTGACATTCGTACTGTCAACCTAGTTTCCGTTTCCTGTAACAGTAATTTTCTTTTTGATTATCTGCTTCAAATTTCCCTTTTACATATGAATTTTCATATTTTCTTGTTTAGTGTTCTAATTTTCTTGTTAGTATAAAATTTTTTTGCTTTCTTATTCTCAGTTTAATATATTTTACTTTCAATAAATTTTGTCACCGCCACCTATACTCACTTTCAGTAAATAACACCTCCGTTAGTACACTATTTATCCGCTAATTTAAAATTTACAGTTTACTGCATTGATTCGTTAAAAATCTAGATAGATGTCTTGACAGTCTGATAATTTTTACTTTTTTACTTTTTACTTTCAGTAATTAACATTATATCCTTAAAAAAAATTTTAAACTGTTTGTGCTTGTAAAACTATTTTGTGTTGTTTAGTTAATAATTGTCTTAAATGTGTTTTAATTAATTATTTTATTCAAACAGACATCTGGTGGTTTAACCTAACCTACATTAAAATTTAAAAAAAAAATACTTATTAGACATGACTTTTTTAACTCGTTCTGTTAAACTTTTTGTAGCGCTTCCTTTATGGAATTAGTCAAGGTGAGTCAAGGTTATTGTTTAACTTTCTTTTGTGTTTTTTTCTGTTATTTTGTATATGTTAAAGTCCGTTCATGCTTTTATAATTGTTTTTATTACAATTGACAAAGGACCAACCTTTACACTTAATCTTCTTTTGAAAAATAGTGGCACATTTTTTGAATCTCATTTCAGTCCAAGACTATTAATCTTAATGGTGTTAAAATAAACACACACACGCCCTTGAAGATTTCATCTCGAATACTAAACATTTCTAGGAATAGGAAGTTTTGTCGATCACTATATTTTAATTTTATTAAGATTATTGTCTAAGTTCTCTTTTCCTTATTCATATTTATAAGAAAAGCGTCTAGTAAGATCTATTTTCTTAGTTGACCTCGTACGGAACTATTTAGGTTCCGCGGGAAAACTAAATTTAAAAAGTTAGACAATGAGAAGAATACTATTTAAATAAGGATAGAACATACCGCAAATTAGAACCGACTCGCGAGGCTGGTTCAAAAATGTTAACCAAATGGTTATAAGTGACGTCATTGTTTATGAAAGGAATATGGTTGGTTCTAATTTGGTTAACTAGAACCGGAACCAAACCCCAAAGGAAAATGCATATTGTCATATTTGCTAGAGGTAAGTTTGGAAATATTCTGTATGATATAGTCTAAAGACATACCAAAAGATAGTGCCGTAAGGTATAAACCATACAAACACCCCTAGTAGCCTTTTCAAAAAAACAATCTCAAAACCGTTAAATTGGACGAGTTTAGATAAAGAATGGAAAAATTGGTAAAATTTTTACCCAGAACTTCCCTCGATATAGAAAAACATGGAACTGCAAAAAAAGGTATTTTAAAATTTTAGATACTAATTTTACAATTATTTATAAATAAAAATATATTACCACATTCTGTGAAATAATAGTTATTTATGCAACAAGTGCAAAAAGTAAGTGTTCATTGCACGCGAGGTGAAATTGTCGTCGAGTGCAATAAACACTTTTTGCACGAGTTGCATACAATATTTTTTCTACGTTCATGCAAAAACCAAAAAATGTTTTATAGAACTGCAGTTGTATTATCCAAATCATAGTAGCCGTGATCGTGTACCTTTGTTTTAGGCATTTATTTACGTTTGTGTTCATAATTTGTAATGACATTTTTAATAAAATACATTTTTTTATTAATTTATTTATTAAATAATTGAAAATAATATAAAACATGCAATTATTTTTAAAACGTAACACAGAAAATGAAAATGGACTAAATATTTAGCGTTGATTTTAATATTTATGTTTGTCATGATCATAAAACGCTTTAGTAAAATGACAGATGAGTGCAATAAAATATTTATTGCACTAGTGCAATAAAGAACCAGTTTTTTTACTAAGTATAGTTCAATAAAGTTTTGTTTTTTGCATGAAAGTAGAAAAAATAACTAAGTTGCTTCACCTGTTATTTTGAAGAAATGTAAAAGGTTTAACCATAATAAAAACCCTTTTTCACCTTTCTGTCTTCGTCAATCTTCCTCTTGATCCCACCCAAATTCATATTTCGTGTCCGCCCGGTGTTCTTCGTCACGTTCACCATTATTGAACAATTGGCTACTTTTAAAATGGTCCAGTTACACAAACCAAAAGGACACTTTTTTCACTCAAGGAGGACCAATGAGTGGGTTGGCTCAGTGGTTTAGAGTCATGACTTTGAGATCGAAAGGTCTCAAGACCGAATCCCATCGGTGGCGGGAATTATTTAATAAAAAATATATTAAATATTAATTCTGATGCATAAGTAGGATTCCCCGCTCGACCATTCTTGTTAGGTTCCAATTAATAGTAGGGTTCCTGAAGTGGCGCTGGAAATTAGTAACAAAGTCTGTACAGAACACATGATAAAGAATTCAAACACAAACTAAGACTGGAATATTAGGTACATAGACCTAGGCCTTAAATAAAAAAAAATCGGACGACAGACGACAGACGACAGACGACAGACGACAGACGACAGACGACAGACGACAGACGACAGACGACAGACGACAGACGACAGACGACAGACGACAGAAGACTGAAAACTGACGACCGATGACTGACGATAACCGAGAGAATGAGGAAACACGTTTTTCGTAATCTAAAATTGTTGTATATTTGATAGGATAAAAAGTTATTTAGGTAATTAGTAGCAAAACTCTCTTTCTAAAAAATAATTTTCTTTCCTCAGATTAGGTTAAGATAAAATTGTTGGTTGGTCCCTCGAGGCCAGGTGTAATATTAGATACAATAAAAAGAACACCATCTTTCCATATTCTCCCCTTAACCTTATAGCTAGGTTTGGAGCATTTTTTACTAATTAGTAAAAAAACATTCCTGAAAAAAAATTAGCACCTTTTCCATGTCACCCACAGCTCCCGATTGAACGTTCATTGACTGGATTATACGATATATTTTCTTAAATAAAAAAAAAAAAACTATAATAAAAATTACAACCATTTTACTTCATCTATAACAGATTTAACACAGTTTACCTTAATTCATCTATAACGTAAGTACGTACTTAATAAGTATTCTATATTATTTAGGTATCTATTTAGCATTGCCTTCAGACCAATTTTTAAATGTTTGTTCATTCCTAATCACGACTTCATACAGCTTACTACCAGATACCGTTTTTTGTTCATATGCCAACGTTTTCTTGTTCTCCTCAATAGTCCTAAGAATATCGCTCTTTAGTTGTTCGGTATACAAATTTTGAGTTGGATTATTCCAAGTTCTTGAAAGAATTTTGAATTGCGCTATGAATAATTCATTCAAAAGGACCCCGAGATATAAACTCAATCTGAAAAATTAAATTTTAAAGTATTTTTTTGAAAGATTTTTTTTATTAATAATCATTAAATTCCTGAAGGTAAAATAATTTGACCCTTTTGTGCATTTTAATAATTATGGATTTCACAACAGGGTTTTATTGGATTTAACAAGCATTTTGATAGAGTTCGTGCAATGCTAAAATTTTTATCGTTAGAAAAATAAAATCTTGTTAAATAATACAGGGCAATTCGTTGATAAATGCGCATACGTTAGGAGTGTGTGGTTTTAAATAATTGAGTAAGGGAGAGTCTGGAACAGTGGCCACCTTTTTACAAAATAAATCAAATAAACCAGAGTTTTTACTTTTTACTAAATTTGTTATGATTATACAATAGCAAGGGTATCTATCCTATTAATACTAAATTGCGGAGCGGAAAAAATGAAAACTACTAATAATACTCATTTTTCAAAACAATAATTCAAAATGGCCACTGTACCAACAATGTTGGTACACTGGCCACCTTACTGTGGTACAGTGGCCATTATAATATATTATAGTGGATACAATTCTTTATAAAAACAAATAGTCATTGATCAGAACAGTTTATTTAAAAACAAAGTAGTTTTTATTACAAAAAATAACCCCATATTAATTCAAAAGGCAACTTAAACAACAAAATAAGTCTTTTAAAATCAAATTAAAATTAAGTTTTCAAATATTATACATGGATAAATTTATAGAAAAAGAAAATAAATTCGCTGTTCTGGTAGTGCCACCTACTTTAACAGGCATGGACAAGTGAAGCACAATATCCTCAATTGAAACTATAGATGTATCAGTAACATCAGGATACGTAAAATTACTGCCATGACGTCTTAGAAATGTTACACTGAAATCATCAGTGTCTTTCAAAATCTGAGTAACGCGCCCAACATAATGTTTTAAGTTTTGTTTGTTACAAACTTCACAAGAACAAAAAAGTCCAGAGCAATATTTGCTATATTATTTATAATTGCTTCGTCATCTTTATCTGATTCAGTAAAGAAGTCCACATCATCGGAATCGGTCAATTCTACATCCATCACTTGAGCTTTGTTCTTTGTCAATCGTTTGTTTTTATGGTGGTGGATCGTTCAGACAATCACCCACTTTCCTTTTTATATCAGACTGTTTTTGTAAATTTGTTTTTCTTGCTTCCTTAAATTTTTCCTCTTCTTCAAGTCTTTTGTAAATAGGTGTGTGTTCTGGTTAATATTTCAGATTTTTTCTTTTTTCTTTGATGTTTTTTAACGAAAACTCAGTCGCAGAAGGATACGGCTTTAATTCAATGGGTGAAATAAATTGCTTCTCGGGAGTCCTGCTTCTTATGGATGAAGAGGTGGATGGCACTGCAGTCACAGAAGGATACGGCTTTAAATCAACGGGTGAAATATTGCTTTTTGGGAGTCCTGCTTCTTATGGATGAAGAGGTGGATGGCACTACTTCAGATTGTTTTGCTGCTTCAGATAAATCTTGTTCCTTAGGCTGATTGTCCACTATATTATCTAAAATTTCCTGCGTATCTGTAACCGTCGCTGCCATACAATCTTCGTCATTGAAAATATTGTCAATAAACGGGTATATCCCAGTGGACCAAAAACGCGATACATAATTTCGAGGCGTGAAAGCCAGGGGATACGATTGTCCTAAAATCTCTGCAATATCATAAATCGTAATTCTTTTTCCTGGATTTTTCAGCAACCACGTCGTGCAGCATTGATTATAATTTTTTTTTAGGTGGAACTAAATAGATTTGTCCAATGGTTGAAGCTTGTGGCTGGTATAAGTCGCTAACGTCAATATTATTACATTATTTTCTTTCGCTAATTATTGTTTTCATTGAAATATGGTATTCATGGCTGTCCTTGATTAGTAATACTGGCGATTCGTGTGTTGGTTTAGTGTGTTTTATGAAATTATTTAGCCAGATGGAGCATTTTTTAACATGTAGTCTATGAATTTTTTTCTTGGAAATACAAGAAGTGACGGTATATTATTTCCAATTGCATTGATACAACCACACACAGTGAATAGAGTTACCCGCTCACTTGAGGTTATGTGTCCAATCAGTTTTTGACCTTCCCTTGCTAGAACTTTTCCTGTTTCTTTCACGGTAGTAAGGCCAGTTTCATCTACGTTAAAAACTTGTCAATGCTCCAAATTATATTTCTCATAAATTTGACGGAGATTGTTGAAAAATAGTTGCACCACTGATTTATTGAACCCCATTGCTCTTCCCAAAGACGTGGCTTCTGCTGACCATATGGACAGCTCTTTCTGTCTTTTCATAAAGCAGCTAAACTATAACCTTCCAGCAGTATAATTTTTTGTCCATGAGGGGGGTATTTTCTTTCCATTTGCTACTGCCAAATCATAGGCTAACTTTCGGGCACATTTTGGGTTCATACCATGATAAAGTTTCGTCATGGTTTGGAAATATTCACTCAAAATGTCAGAATGTTAGGTGAAAATATTTGATTCACTCTATACCCAGCTAGCACAGACACGTGATTTTCACTTGAAATACACGGCACGTTTTACGTCGAAATCACCAATTTATGACGTGCTAGTGACGTGATTATGACGGCAATATGTCACAGATCAAAGACGTCATACAGTGACGTGATAAACACGTCACCAGATAACGTGTTTAGACGTCAAAAAAACACCATAATATTCATTTAAAAATGTTTAATTTGTAAAGAAATGTTTATAAAAAACGTTTTATTTAAAAAATGTTTAATAAAAATATGTTTTATATGAAAAAAGATAGGTTACTGCATAAAATTTCTGAATTGAAACATAGTATACTAACCTGAACTATTACTAAATAAACATTACTTCTTAGAATATGTACTTAGCATGTATAAATTACAAAAGATTATATAGCAGTGTCCAGATATTCAACAAATCATTCCGAATATACAGGCTTGAAGCAGCTTCAATGGTATCCTTATTAAATTTTCGTTTCACTAAAACAAAAATATAATAGTTATAACTACCAGAAACTTAATTATTTAAATAAAATTTGAGCCAAAAAATAGAGTTAGCATTGACCGAGAAAGACAGAAATTGTTTTATATCATTAAGCTGTCACAAAAGTGATATATTTGATGGTTCACAAATTTAACAAGATAAATAAAATTAGATCTGTCAAGAAAAATCAATGAAAAAATTTAATATGCGCCTGGCTAAAGAGTACTAGATGTTCCCAGCTAACACAAAATTTAGTATTTCTTCATGGGTCAAAAACCTAATATTTTAATAATAATTTTATGATGCTAATTTTTAAAGTGATGTAAAATTGTGAATTTTAAACCAGGTTAACCTGACTTTTTTTATAATTAATGAAATGAAGAAATGTTATTATTTTTACAAGGTATATATTAATAAGAGGAAAAATTATTTTACTCCCAAGCTCTTTTGAATGTAAAGGTGAGATTTTTATTAATTGTGAAAAATAATTATTGACATTTGAAGAAAAAAATGTTGTTCGGAATAAAAGAAATGTACTTATAACATTGTCACAAAAGTATGAATTTTACTCATAATAAAAATAAGTTTGGCTAGACAGAGCAGTGCTTACCTACCAATAGGTTCGTCATCAATAACAAATTCATCATCTTCACTTGAAAATATTCTTCTTAATGGCTTTCTTTTACAAGGAAGAGGTTGTAATTCATCATCACTTGTTATATCCTATGTCTTAAGAACTTTTGTTGCTTTTTGGCTAGCTATTTGGTAGTTCTCTAAAACAGATTAATAATTTTATACACTATACTTTTTTAAATAAATAAAATGGCTCACAGATATGGTTTACGAAATACTATAACTATAATAGGTCTCAGTAACCAACAAAAATTCAAAAAATATAATATCAAGGTATATAATGCAAAATAATTTCATAAAACAATGTAATTAAAACCACAGTACATAAAGGGAAAGGTTTTAGTAATAATACATAGACCAGTGTTTTAATTGTCTAAAGGTGAGTTTAGTCAGCCTGATTTAGTTTCAACATAAAAGTTATCAATTTATTTCAATGTACCTGTTTATACAGAATAACATAGGCATCAACATTAACATAGTAAAGATAAATAAAAATCAACTTAATGCTCAATTCTTAGGAATGTGTATGTTTAAATTATGAACGGTTTTGTTTTAAAATCCTTAAATTTTTGTTTATATTTATTAATGTCTACGTTAATAGTTAAAACAAAATTAGGCTAGCTACAGGCACCTTTACAATATAAAAAATCACTCACCTTCGGTAAAATATGTTCTATAAATAAGAAAGAGTCCAATTTTTTCCTTTTTTAAGCTCTTGTTAAAAGATTCTTGTTGTTTATAAGAACCTCATTTCCCAGGATGTCGGCCACTTAGAACTTAAAGTGGTTTAATAATACTCCGGTGCCGTGCTTGTCGGCGTATTGAATTCCTATAAATATACTAAAAATAAACAATAATATCGCACTAAACTTCCTAACTACTTACCTTCAAAACACATACAAAATCATACAATAAAAGAATGTTCCAAACACAAGTTACAAAAATAACAAAAAATGGCGTGAACCGCTAACCTTGGACAATATGACAGCTGACATTTCTAAACAGTGTTGACATAAAATTTCATTTGAAAATGAAAATTCCCAAAAATCCCTAGATTTAAAATGAGAATCATAAATTTATTATAAACACTAAAGGTACTTTTATTAATAAATAGAATGTAAAACAATAAAGGTATAGAATCGACGTGTACACGTGCGCAGTTTAACGCCTCATTTCAGAACGTGATAAACTAGTCCCTAAATAACGTCATAGTACGTCTTATTTTGGTGTCACAATGACCGCAAAATAAACGATGTTGTATAAATTACCTTCCATTTATCTAATAATGAATAAGAAAAACTCGAATTGCATTTATGACATAAATAGGTGTATTTTGTTCGCAACAACTGTGTTTATGTGTCAAATTGGTCCGAAAATGACGTCATTATTACGTTACTTTTGCGTCAAAAAATCACATCGACGTATTTAACCAAAATTCAACGTGATAGCTGGGTAGTTAGAAGTAAGCCTTGGTGTCCCTTAAAAAAATGGTGAGTTCCAGTTAATATCATCTTCCTTTTTACTGTATTTTTGCAAATAACGCCTTAGTGTAGTACGTGAAACACTATGTTTAATAGCCGCAGCTTTAGCAGATAACCCACCATTAACCACATCGGAAATTGCATTGGCTATGGTTTCTGAGGGAGTTTTTCCAATCTCTTTGTTTGTTTTTTTTTCTGCGCGGCATTTTTTAGAAAAATCTAAAATAAAAGAAAACAACAGTAAGCAGATTTGTGCCAAATAATATTTTTCTAACTAAAGTACAGTGGCCACTTCTTATTTAAATAATTTAGTGGTGACCACTGTACCTACGTTTACCATGGCCACTGTACCAACAAATCACTTGCTTAAAAAAAACAATGTCCCGCATAAGAATAATTTTTATGTCAAGAAATACTTACATGCTATATGTATATGTTAACAATAATAGATTACTCCGATATATTTTGATTTGTTCACTAACGAAAAAATTACCTCCTTGGTGTGATTTACTATAAACAGAAAATTATAGGTTAGATTTATTTCTGAGTGAATAAATTACACCTGTTACAGATAACTTTGTCGACGTAGTCTGTGTTATTAGGTAACCTTTGTACTAGATGGCAGCACCAGATTTATTTTATGATAAAAATTGCGAGCAGGTGGCCAGTATTCCTGTATGGCCACTGTTCCAGATTCCAGACTCTCCCCTATTATACATTATGAAAAAGGATAAAAGGATTTCATAGTTTCTCAAATCTGTTTGTGAAGTGCTATTATCGACTCTACTTCTAGTAGCAAAGATATATCTGGCAACGCACAATCGAGTCCCTTTCACTAACGTTTTAGTAGAGTGTAATAATTTCATCATTAAAAGTCAAATAGGTATAGCAAATTCTAAAAATTATTAAATGTTTTAACTAAATACTTAAATAGAAAATAAACGTTTTGAAATAAACCAAACAATTAGGTTCATACTCTAATCAATTGCTTACATTATACCATTGTATTTAGATAAGATAGTAGAACAACCTTATGGACGTTTCATTGGAGGCAATTTTGTCGCAACATCTGTTAGAAGAAGTACAGAACTTCATCAAAATGGCCCGAGCCTAGCGCTTCCTGGATCATTAAGTATAGAATTCTATGTACATAAAGTTTCCTTAATTTTAAATTTATTTGGGTAGATTGCCAAATTTAAATTAATATTGTGTGACGAAGTCACTAAATTTTATTTTTAATTCATCTTAAAAATGTATATTTCAATTAATTCCTACCTGAGAACATGTATTTATGTTTCCCAGGAATTACCGTTTTTCAACAATTGCGAGTACCCTCGTAGATTAAAATATTCTTATATTTGATGAAATCCGAATGGCCATTTTTAGAGTCGATTTCGTATGGATTATCTACTTTTAATTGTCAAGATACTAGAAGGACATTTTTTATATTTCTACTGGTCTTCCATCTTGCTTTACCGAAAAAGCATAAATTAAATCCCATCTGGGAATTACGCCCTCTGCTCGCTTGCCAGCCGCCGTAAGCTCTTCTCTCTTGATTGCCGACAGCCGAAAACTATTCACCCTTAGTTAGTACCTAGTGCCGTGAGTACCGTGATTTAGTTCATCGATTAACCCCGTTTATCTGCTAAGGTAGGAACCGTATATTATTATTTTTTTTATATTGGCTTTTATATAATTAGTTGGGACACCCGTGTGACAAGTGAAGAATTTTGATTCACATCCAGGATATATTATTTCATCCCTCAGTGGGAAACCGTTGGCAATTTTTTATTTGAGGTTGGACCTAGACTAGACACCGAGTGCTCTCTTTGTCAGCGACTATATCCAATTTCTTTTAAAAACCGCTCAGTTAACATCAAAGTGAGAGATTCGACATGTTTTCGATTTTTTATTATTTTATTGTTTTATTTTTTTTTTTCCTTTTTTGGAGGTTCGATCCGTTTCCTGGGCTAGAGAGCTCTCTCTCTCCTGATGACGTTGTCTAATTTCCCAAAAAGACGTTTAAATTAATTTATGCGCCTCGCTCCGTGTAAAATTTCTTTTCTTTTAATTTTTTTATTCAGCCGTATTTGAATCATTCCCCGTCCACACTTAGTTATTGAATGAAGCCAGACGACTTCTGTAAAATTAAATTCACACACACGCTCTCGATAGACGCTGGGCAAAATTCATAAATATTATTTTCTACGATCGTCGTCGTCGCCGTTCAAAATACCGCGTAAATAAACCATATTTATCAGTAAGTGAGAATTTTCGTTTCCCATCGCATGGTTATTAAGATACGAGGGGGCTCCGACAATTTTGAGTTCATTTATTTGTTTGCATTTGATTACCGTCATATTTAAATTGTTTCAAGTGTATTAATTTATTTTCATACATTTTCCGTGTACTGGGCGTTTCACAATTCCCAGTCCGATTAGCCTCCTGTGCTAATAAACCAAAAATATTTCAATATTTAAATAATTTTCAACTTTAGTAATTTATTTTTAATAATTTTCCGAATACGGGGATCCGTCAATATTTAAATAGTTTTCAATTTTAGTAATTTATTTTTAACAAATTTTCCGGATATAGGGATCCGTCAATATTTAAATACTTTTCAATTTTAATAATTTATTTTCAAATAGATTTTCCGAATGCAGGGAGCCGTTCATATATAATTACCGTTGTATTTATTTTTTTTGTAAATATATATTTTATTACCTATTTCTGTGTTTCTATTATTACTGGTTCTTAACCGTTCTCTTTCAGGGTACCGTAGGGTACGAGGTGTAAAGGAGATAAGTGTTTTATTTTTTTTATTTATTCTAGTATAGTGGCTACCTGGCAGTGACCGCCTGGAATTATTTTTTTACCTCCACTGAGTTTACTGAGTACATGCTGGTGTACTTCAGGGTCGCAGAGCAAACTGCGATACCAAAACTGGCGCCTGAGCAGTGTTGCGGTTACCACCTTATCACAGTGAACCTAACCCCACTGAACTAATCTGGACTCAAATGAAGGGATATGTCGTCAGAAACAATATAATATTTAAACGTCAACTATTATGTGTCTTCATATAAGAAATTTCACCGGACAATTAGCAAAACGCTATAAGACATGTCATATCAGAGGAAGAGAAATTCTGGTAACCTATATTTTATGATGTATTGTATTTGATGTTTTTCAAGATGGTTATACTAAAATCTAGTAAAAATGCAGACAACATCGCGAAAATAGTCAAAACGGATTCAGGAGACCCCAAAACGAAGAAATCCGTCAAAAACTCGAGGTCGAAAAAAAATCAATATTCCTATACTTTTCTTATCTGTATACAGACAGGAAAGTAAAAAATAAATTCAATAAAATAACCGTAACTCACAATTTAAGAATCCTCATTTATTGATATTAAACACATTTTTATCACAGATTTTTGCTAAACTGATTCTGATTATAATGAGAACTTCCTTCTTCTAAACTTTCTTTCTTCTTTCCGTTTACTTTATATTCTATTTTCTACACTTAGGGGTAAAGAAAGGGGGTAGCGGCGAAGTGGCTTGTCCTTCGAGGAATCATAATGGTCCCTCCCAAAGAACGTTCAGACAATATAATAAATTGTTAATTTTAAAGACCAGACCTAAATTTCAACTTTTGTATGTATACGCAATTAGGCAACATACTGGAATGTATGTGATGAATATGAAAAATAAACTATGTGGTTCGTCATGAATAGTCATGAATATTTGAAAAAATGCGCAAAATGTATAAATCACCCTGTGTCTTGGTTATAATCAGAGACAAATTAAATGTAGGTTATGTAGAAGCACTTCAGTGTCCTTTATCTACCCCTAACGTATGCGAATTTCGCAATAAATATCTAATAATTCCTTTGAAATTATTCAATAACAAAATTACTTCAAGATAGATCAAAATAAGTATGAATTTTAATTAAATTTTCATTTCAATATATCTAAAAGAGGTAGAAAAAATGATACTACTAACCGTGCATTTCCAGGATCGATAGTTTTAGTTATGTTAATAAGTTCTTCGCATAAATTCAACTTTTTTATCCAATCATCTACGGTGTATTCTACATTTTCCTCTGTGCCCAATAATTGAACAAGAGAATGCTTAATATTGTATACCAAATAATGATTTGGGTGAAGAAAATAAAGCAGTTTGGATAGAATATCTTCTAGTTCTCGAAGGTGTGGAATTTTCGACATTAGCTTATCCACTTCATCACCAAGGTGGGATACAAACTTCAATATGTCCTAAAAGATTCAATCAATATTAATGACAATGTGTATCGGGTCGCTGGTTGAGTGCGAAAGGTACTCAAAACACCGATCACAGCCAAGCCGTGTTTGACTGTCCACGGTATGGATGGGTCCCATCCATCTAAACAGTAGAATGTAAGGGTATAAGGTATGAGTTTAATAAATAGCAAGGAGTAGGGTATCCAAATAATGATACGATAAGTTCGTGAGCTATCCAGATGGATTAATGATGCAATGCCGCCATGTGAACTCCAGAGGAAGGGAGGGCAGGCTGAGCCCCAAGTCTGGTAGGAGTGGGGGGGGAGGGTGGAACCCAAGTCTGATTGAAAGGAGCCAGGCTAGAGTTCAAGCCAGATTGGGGGAGCCTGCCAGAACTCCTCAGAGGGAAACAAAGGGAAACCAGAAAACGTGAAAAAAATAGCAATGTTTAGAAAGTTTTCGTTCTTAAATATGAAAAATGTATATCTAAACTTTAAATAAATATAATTCTATTAAATATATTGCATGATATGCAAAATATAGAGATTTGGTAATCTCTCTTATGTTTAAAATTTAAATTATTGAATATAATAATTTAAGGAACTGCCAGCTATAGTTAATAAATTGTCATATGATTCCGAACAAATAAGTCTGAGAACGAATAGAGAAAAGATAAAGACAATGACTAACAAATTAGACTCCGGAATTTAGAAACCATCGGCATCGATGAATGCATTTATCTAGGATAGTGAAAAGAAGCAAACCAAACCATATGGACAAGATAGGTAGAATAATTAGAATGGTATGAGCTGGATTTGACAAGCTTAAGTGGATTTTAAAAGACGACAAATCCAACAGTTTCTAAGAACAATAATATGACCAAAGTATTCTTCTAATTTTATAATTTTAACAGATTGCTCGGAATTTTAATGAGTTATCAGATGACCTTAGATCTTTTAAAATAACCAAAACATAAGCACCAAGGAAAAACAAAAGGCTACAAGACAACAAATTATAAACGTAACAAAAGTAAAGTGAAGTCAAGTATTGCAGGGAATAATTAAAGACCAAAAGATAATAGAAGGAATGCAGAAATATACCAATAGAGACTATTGGTAGGTAAAATAAACAGTAGAAGACTTTAGATGATATAGAGAGACATAGCGCAAGTTACGAGTCAAAGAACTCATAATCGCCAAGAAAAATGCAATTTAAATATTGAAGCTCATTACACTTAATTGTCCAAAATTGCGATTCTGCAATTTTGCAATATAATAATTTATAAATAATTATCAGCATATATTTAAATATAAATTTAGGTACCATTCAATATGAGAGTCAATTCTAATTATTTAGTAATTCAAATTTTGTATATTTTTATTTAAATAAAAGTGCTTTTTAAAAAGTGACTTTTGTTTAGCAAAAAATTTCTGGTACAGTCATTAGGATAGTGGGAGGGTCTTTAAAGATCCTTGTCGTTTTTAAACGTTTGCCCGCTCGTCAACCTACCAGACGGAAACATTCAACAGTTAACCCAAATAACATCAAGTAAGAACATACTCTTAGACGTAAGACGATATATTTATAAGATAGAATACCAGAATATGTACTTATAATTTCCCCATGTTCCATTCACCGCCTCAGCAAAAATCTATCAATAAACATCCAAGTCTATTATTATATTCCTTCAACACCGTCCTTACCCACACAAATATTACACTAATATCAGAAGACCTACATCAACCTTTTACACCATCATCATGCCTAGTTTCGACCTGAAGAACTTCATCAATGTAGCCACGTTGATTTTGAACCAGACAATAGATAAAAATAAAAGAGATTCTCATTCAACACTTCGCCGACCAAATGAATAAAAATTCAATAACAAGAGATTAAGTTAATCTACGTCAGGGCCCCAACGAGAATCCACAGCAATTCTATGAGAAAGTATTGGCTTCCAAGCACCATAATAAACTACATAGAACTACATAGATCAAATGAAGCTATTAATCACAGTAAGGAACATTTTTTCCAACAACAACCTCTTACAATGTTCCTAGAAGGACTCCGAGAATCATTGGGATCCACAATAAGAGTCATGCGATCAACATTCCTTGCCCTAGCCCTAAAGTATATATTAGAAGAAAACAACATAAGGTACCTTTTCATTTACTACCAGAAAGCCTTAAAATGACAACCCTCTAGGGAAACTACACAACTCACCGATAACTAGTTTTATTCCTTTACAATAGCAACAACCCATCCCAAGACCACAACCGTTAGCACAATTCAGAGCTCCGCAGTTCCAACAACAAGTGAGATCAGTTTTCAAATAACCACGATTTCAAGGAAACCAGCAATTTACAAGGTCATTCCAACAAAACTCAATGAACTACTTTACATAAATTTACTTCTGAAGAACTGTTCAATATCGAACAAGCCTATGAAGCTTTTGGTTACGACGCAAATACATACACACTCGACGCAAACCTGAAAAAATTTACCCAATATTACAACCAACCCGACTATGCGGAAGTACAAGGGGAAGAAGAAAATCTACCTTACGAAATTGAAAATTTTTCAAAAATTTTACGAACAAACACAAAGACGTAGTCGAACTTCACTCCTACACAGACAGTAGAAAACTTCCTTACATATCCATATCAAATCCACTCCTCAAACTGCTTATCGATACCGGCGCTACTAAATCCTTTCTTACTCCCGAAACTGCATCCAAATTTTATTCAGACAACGTCAAACGTAAACCATTCATCGTTACTTCTATCTTCCAGAATCATTCCCAATATTATTAAGCTCCAATTTCAATATTTCTAGAATTCAACACAGATGGCAACTTCAAATTTCACAAAACCTTTGATGGCCTTATAGGCTTCGGCAACCTTAAATTCATTAGAGCTCACGTTAATCTCCCAGAATCGAAACTTATTACTGAAAACTCATCTTCTCAGTAATAAAACCCAATTTTATACTATCCAACTCGAACCACAAGCCGATTTCACCAAGTGAAATGGCGAAGGAAGATGTGCAGAAAACAGCCTTTAACGTCGAGAACGGCAATTTCGAATACATCTGAATGCCATTTGGACTTAAGTTTGCTCCTGCAACCTTCCAGCGAGTTATGGATAACATTCTTAAAAGACTACTAGGAGAAATATGCTTGGTATACATGAAAGATATAATAGTATTTTCCATCTCACTGCATGAACACATGGTAAACCTTTCTAGAATATTCCAACGACTACGAGAAACTATATTTAAAGTCCAGGTATATAAATGTGAATTCTTGAAGAAAGAAGTTGGCTTCTTAGGAAATATCATTACTCCTGATGGAATAAAACCCAATCCAAATAAAATTAAAGTCATTATGGACTACCCTATCTCAAAGGCAGCCAAAGATATTATAGGCTTCTTAGGATTGCTGGGATACAACAGAAAATTTATAAGGGACTTTGCCAAAATCACCAAATCACTGATGACATGCCTCAAGAAAGATGCTAAGATATAACACACACCAGAGTTTTTAGAATGCGTCAGCACCTGCAAGAATCTTCTTACAAATGAACCTCTACTATAATATCCAGACTTCTCCATGCCATTCAATTTGACAACGAATGCAAGCAACCTTGCAATTGGCGATGCACCATCACCAGGACCTGTGGTTAAAGACAAACCCATTGCCTATGCAGGACATTGGACGTGACAGATCTTAAATATTCAACCATTGAAAAGAAAATGTTAGCTATCGTATGGGCTACGAAATACTTCCGCCCATACCTGTTTGGAAGAAAATTCAAGATCATGTTACCCCTCTTCTCCAATGGCTCTTCTTCTTAAATAAATCCAAACTCTAAGCTCGTAAGATGACGTCTAAAATTGAAAGAATTCGATTACGAAGTAATTTATAAAATGGGCAAATTCAACACAAACGCAGACGCTTTATCCAGAATAGAGATTCACACCAAGGAGGCACATAACTCCAAAGAAAGTCTTTTTAAGAAGTCACATTAAAAGATTTCGATGAATTATCCCTTTATAACCACTCTGGATTAACGTATGACCCACTAGAAGATATTATTATTGATCCACTAAGATAATTAATCCCAGAAGGATTATATATCGTAAACGAACTACTCCGGGAACAACAGGATGAAAATAGCGACATAACCAGACACACTGCTATAGAAGACCCTATACTCGGAATGCCCATAAGCGAGCGAGCATTAAATTGCTACAATAACCAAATAGTCCTCCGAGTAATTAATTATAACCCAGCTCAACCTGTCACAGAAGAAATATTTATCAACAAGAAAAGATTCCATATTCAATTTTGAAAAAATAACCTCAAAGATGACATTTTCAAATTTTTCAAAGATTTCCTGGATCCTAAGAAAAAATATGCCTTATTTTTCGAAGATATATATTATGTCCTACGTAACACAATAAAAAAAAACTTTCAAAAACTCTTCATAAAACCTTGTCAAGTGTAACATCCCTTTTGAAGATGATAACTCAAATGAAAAGCAAAAACAAATAATATCGAGATATCATGAAGGCAAAATCAACCACAAAGAAATAAATGAAACAGAAGCAGAAGTACGAAGATATCGGCAGACTATTAAAAGAGACCTAGAGGAGACCATCAACATATGCGACACTTGCCAGGTTAACAAATGTGACCGAAACCTACTCAAACCTAAATCCATATTAACGCCTGTTCCATGGAAATAATAACAAGCCAGCGGCCAAAAATTTCTGGCAGTCATGGATGCCTTCTCCAAATATGTACAAGCAATCCTATAGAAGGATCCGATCCAATCAACGTCTTGAACGCTCTCTTTATTTTCATCACACATCATGGTCTTCTACATCCGATAATCTCCGATAGCGGTACCTGGTTGAAAAATTGACTTATTTAAGAATTTGTGGTCAAGCATAAAATTTCTTTCCACTAATATACTACTCCAGATAGCCCACAGTATAATAAGAATGATAAAACACTTTCACTCCACTATTCTGGAACATATAAGGATTATTGGAAAAAAGCAGAAAACTAAACATTATAGAACAAAAGTTATATGCTACACTTGGTTACAACAATTCCATACATTCTGGGACAGAACCAAAACACATAGAAAATCTAAATGGTCACCTAAAAGCAAAAGATCCATTCTAAATCGATATTAAAAGAACTACTAAATAACTACACTCAAGGCCACAGGGAGAAAACGAAATAAATATATAAACAAATAAACAGAAAAATTTAAGATCTTAAAATAAAAACTATCGACAGAAAAAACTAAAAGTGAGAGGTTTCAGTAATATACAAACCATTTTCCAAAATATACTCAAGAAATATAGTAAGAAGAAACAAACTCCTTCCAAGATATTCTCCTAAAATCATCGAATCCAACAATCCTGTTATAATTGAAACCTAAAAAGTAATCATTCACAAGAGAAATATCAAACATAATTCGGATAAACAAAATATATTGCAAATGTACCTTCGGCGTGTGACAAGAAGTCCAAATCAATAACCTCAAGAACAACCCAACCTAAAAATAAAACACAGGAAACAACCACTGCTGGACGAATCCAATCTACGATCCTCGGATTCTTTATAGGATACAAGATCCACACTAAGAAAGTAAGAAATAAGAAATCAGAACAGAAGAAGCTGAGTCCAAAGTTTTGTTGATCCTTCATAAAACTTCTTCGAGGGATGGAGAAGTTACGAGTCGATGAACCTATATCTGCCAAGAAAAAATGCAATTTAAATACTTAAGGTTATTACTTATTACACTTGATTGTCCCAAAATTGTGATTCTGCAATTTTGCATTTTCATAATATAATTTATAATTAATAATTATCAGAATATATTTTAATACAAATTCAGGTACCATTCAATGTAAGAGTCAGTTCTAATTATTTAGTAAATGTATATTTTTATTTTAATAAAAGTGACTTTTGTTCACCAAAAATATTTTTCGTATCACTTGAATAAAAATTGAGGAGGCCTATATCCCAAATTAGGCGATATAAAAAGCATTCAAAAAATAACAGGCAACAAGTAAGTATAGAACTTTCAAAATATTTAGTTTTAAAAATTTCATTTGTATAAAATGTTTACCTTTTCTGGCAACCTTATTTTGCATTTGCCACATTCCCATGCACCTTCTTCTAACGTAGGATTTACAGGAAGTTGTAAACCACCACAAGGACTGCCTTCAATTCCACCAATGCACTTTAATCCACTTATATATGTACCCAGCTCAGTAGAATCTTGGCATCTTCTGCATTTACATTTAAAATATTTAGTTTGGAGAAGGTGGTCTCTTCTAGCAGCGGTTCCCCAAAGAATGTGGGTATAAATTGAAGATATATGATCATCTAAAAAAAAAATAGAAAGTACTGTACCAATTTCTTCAAATATATTAATGGTAGCATAATTTCCATGTGGTTCTTTGTTACATCCTATCATCCATAATTACCTTTTTCAATAGGTAAAGCAGCTCTTATGGTAATTTTAAAATTTTCCTTTTCATCAATTAACTGCATCACATTTGGTACACAACTATGTTCTAGTATTGAAGATGTACCGTAAAGTATCATTGCATCGATATCTTCCGTTAGTTCTGTCGCATTAACATCTAAAATTCCATAGATTCGATGAATTATATCAGGAGATACTTTAGGTATAATTAGTTGACCAATTTCTTTCTCGTAATCTTTTAATGGTTTTAAATAGTTGTCTTCCAAAATTTGTATTTTTTCTTGTACCGCCCTAAAATGTAGAATATAAAATGGTAAAATTAAACAGTTGAATTTTATTTAAAAAAAAAAATACAGAAAATAATTTTAGATGCGTATAGCAGTCGTCTCGTATGTGGAATTTACAAGACTTTTGCTTCTGTGGTTTGATGAAAGAAGACATCTATTCTGTTGAAATAATCGACGAACAACAACTGAGGCATCGAATCATTTAAAGTGCAAATCGATTCCGTCAGAAGCCAATGATCTTCCAAAAAATTCGGTTTTTCTTTTTAAAACGTTGTAGACAGGGCCGGTTTTACCTAACATGAAGCCCTAGGCGCAAGACAATTTTGAGGCCCTTTGTTAGGCATCTATTTTATAATATTATTACTAAATAAACTATAGAGTTACCAGGGTGTTTCGTGATATATTTTAAATCAAATTTCCTCAGCCAAGGAAAAAAATACAAAAAGATTTTTTTATTTTTTTAATATATTTTATTTGACTCTAATAATTATTAAAACGCAAAACATCTGCGTTATGCAAATTAACACCGTAATTTATAAAAAAAATGATTCCTGTCACGAACGCACGATATTTATTTTTTCATTATTAAATTGAAAACCAATAGGTAATAGTAGGAACTATTATTACCGTTATTACCGTTACCGCTCTTGTGATAATGTTTTATTAGATTCTACATTTTATTGTGACATTCTGCAAGCAAAGCAAATAGGTACCTATTTTATTTACACTGTGTTATGTACCACATAGTTAGTTTGTTAGGAATGTTAGGTATTAATCTAGAGAATACTAATACAAACTCTACTCCAACTTACCTTTACGCCTGGAGCGACTTCAGGAAATACGCTCCGACCAAAAATAGTGTAATCAATTTGGTCTTGATTCTTTCAAGAACAGTCAAGCATTCAATTTTTTTACCAAGTTTGGACTGGGTTAATTTGAGTAAATTTGACAGAACGTAGAGTTCTTTTGCAACAGTTGTTATTTCATATTATTTTTGTGTGTCATAAAGGTGTTTGTACATGAAATTCTATAAAGTTAAGTTTGTTTTAAAATAAATATTTTAAAATTTCTTGTCTTATTGACTTTAAAGATCATTCATTATAAACTCGATTGTAAATAGGGCTGTGAATAGGTACATACTGAAATAAAAAGAAAAAAAAACAGCTAATAAAACTAAATGAGTAAAAAGTAAAACTACACGAGATACGAGTAACAATGGGAAGCGAGAAACATCGAACATTATAAAATGTATGTAAAAAATAACTGTAAAAAGCTTAATTTTCAAATTCATTGACGTTTACTTTTGTTGACGTTCAGAAATTTTACGACAATGAGAATTACTCTAGAGCAGGGGTGTACAAATATACGGCCCGCGGGCCGGATGCGACCCGCCAGTATCGTTTTGGAGGCCCGCTGGCCGTTGATTAGTTTGGCCCGCCGATATAAAATTATACTTTTTTCAGTAACAAACTTGCATTTAGGCTGACGACTTTTGGTTACACATTATAAGCTGACGACTTTTTTTAGAAGCTCGACCAGGAGGAGTTGGTTTATAAATGAAAGGTGTCGACTTTTTTTAAGGAAATCTGAACCGACCATTGTAGACGCAGGCCTATCTCTTGGCGGCCTTCGTACAATTACGGTTTTTCAAATCTGGCCTTTTGAAAATCTGAGTTGTGCAGGCCTGCTCTAGAGTAATCTGGGCAACCGATCTAAAAAAATGAGTCTATTCCCGTGTAAAATCATCTGAACGCGCTCCTAGTCAGACTCCTGATTATCTATTATAATAGATATACTAATTCAATAATTATCACGGTCAAAAACAATGGCCGTGTTCAGTGGTTCAGTTACACTATTTACACTATTACGCCGCGCCGCGCTGATTCAGCTTTTCTTGCTGTTACCAGATTGAAGCTCTATTTAATATTTTATATTTAGGTATTTTATGAGGCCTCCTCAATATGAGGCCCTAGGCTAGCGCCTAGTGGTAAAACCGGCCCTGGTTGCCGAATGTGTATTTAGTAAAATAGATTCCATTCTGGACATTTATTATAGAAAATGCTACACATTTATACATATTTTTTATACCTACGAATAACATGAATACTCAGTTAGAACTTACTTTTTGTTACTCAAAATGTTTGAAGGACAATGAAAATGAGGCCATATCTTGATAAAAACTGGCTTTTCGAAAAAGTGCTAAGAGGCAAAAAAATTAAAAAATCATGTATTAAACCAATGGTGTCACAATCCTAATTTAATTGTAACGCATAGAAAAGTTTGGGGGGTTTTAGGGGTTCAAAACCTCCCTAAAATTTTTATGGGCTGTACGATAAGAAAGCCATATATTTTAATTACAAAATCTGTATCTGTAACGTGTGGAGGGTGGGTTACCCCATGGCACTTAGGCCTCATTAGGCCCATTGTGCATCCTCCTGAGATGATAGGCACCTCCTAGCTCGTGAGCCACTTACATTACAAAATGTTAAACAGTTCATGAAATATTGTAAAAATTCAATTTTCATTTTGTACTTTCCAAGGGCTGTAAGTTTTTTTGTGTGCACATTTGCATTAAGGTAAGTTATATTCAATCGAAATATTTTTGAGCCCAGAATATGTGGTTCCATTTGTGACCTATCTTTTTGTTACGCCCTGTATAAGGTATTTTTTAATTTATAACATTTAAAAAAAAATAAAAGTTTATCCCAATAAATTTTGTCTGTTTAAATTTCCGAAACAAACACTAAAGAAAGAATCAATTCCTGAATCCGGGGAACATAATAAACCGAAGAAAAATAAAAATATTGAAAAAAATTATGTTCCGGGCGGGGGTCCAATCCGCGACCTCTGGATTGCCGTATCAATTTCATACCAATTAGAATACCGGAGCACTATGTATCCAGTGACCAAACTGTTAATTTGAGTTGAAAATTCGATTCCGACTTAGTTTATCAGATCACTGTCCAATTTTTCAATCAATCTTTAGTCATCAATATGGCATCGTCAAAGGTACAAGGAAAGCGCCGTAAATGCAAATATGAAATGAAGAAATACACTGAAAGTTTAAATTTCCGAAACAAATACTAGACAAAGAATTCAGAAATAAATTTTTAATTACAAGAGGAGATAATAAACCAAAAAAAAAAATAAAAAAATTATGCTTCTTCCGGGACTTCAACCAGTGGCGAAGCCATGGGGAGCGCCTACCTCCCTCTCCTCCCGCCTATCTTGGCGCTCCTTGCCGCTTATTTAGTCCAAAGTTAAAGTAAAAGAACTATTTTTATTTTATGAGGTCGTAAATCATAACGAATTATATATTCAAAAGCAATCTGGGACGCGGCAGTGGCGGCGTTTGAGTCGGATCGGTGTTTATTGTGTTACTAATTACCGATGGCAAAAATTATTTTTTCTAAATTGCGATAGCGTTGCGTTAGCGACGGTATTGATATTTCAGAGCATCGCATCGCTGCTGGTCGCTCTCACTCTGAACTTTTGCTTTTGATAACACTAAGTTGTTTTGCCGACAACGCTTCTCTCGAGGCGACGCTATCGCATCGCCACGCTTGCCGCGCCTACTCTGAACAAGGCTTTAAAAGGAAGAGGTATTGAAGAACAATTATTAAACGTATACTTCACAGCATTATTTTTGTTGTTAAATAGACCACGAAAAGCTACTTTGCATACAATCGCGGCATGCACATGCGTTGCGGTAATTTTTTTAACATGTAATTTTTTGGTAATCACTCGGAATAATTATTTAATTTAAGTAAATGGACTATGCGAAAAAAAAATTTGCAGACATTTCCAAAAATATTTGCATACGCTATTATAGGTCGCAAAATAATCGATGCACTTTAAACAATTAACAAATGTTTCCTTTTTTATTTTCGTAAAATTCTTGATAAAATATTACGTTTTAGGGACTAGAATACAATTCTGAAATCTACAACGAAAAAAATGGACGAAAAAATGGACGAAAAAAATTTCGAAAACACGTTGAACACTTATTATGCGAATGGTATTGGAAATAATAATAAATTACGTAATACTATTTATATTGTTACACAGGTTTTTGGTATTACAATTTATTTTAACTAAACGTTAACAACAATAAGGGTCGGTCTTTTCACCTTCAGATAAAGTTCCAGATAACCAACTGACGGATATAGTATCTGAGAATTACTGTCTGTCAGATAATTAATGTTCTGTTTTTTCAAATAAATAATATGTGTGGTAGGTATCCAGTAGTTTTTAACCTTATGTGGTTATGTAACTACCTGTTTATCCATCAGTGAAGTATTTTATTAGAAACTTCATAAATAAGATAATTTATCATTGAGAAGTTAGGTTTACCCAGAAGTGAAAAGATTACTTTTTAAGTTACTTGGGAGATAAAAATTACCTGAGACTTTATCTGAAGGTGAAAAGACCGACCCTAACTCCAACTGATAACATTCACATATCATCAAACTGAAAACTGACGTCAGGTCGTCGACTTATATAGCTTGCCTCGACCTTCTAAAACCTTCTCGAACAATCTGGACTTTTCTTTGACAAGGAATGACATTTCGAGACATTTCGGGAATATTCTATCTTCTTTATTTACTCGTACCTTTACTTATGACGACTGCAGCACGCTACAAGGTGCTGCGTAACAATATATTATACAGGGTGTTCCATTAATGCGTTATTGCTCGATAAATCAATTTGCGATATAGATACACAACCAAGTATCAAATAAAAGTTATATGGATTTGAACAAGACATATTTTAAAATTATTTTAGGATACATAGGATGTTACGTTTTTTTCTCGAAAATAAAAATGTTTGCCCCCCCCCTCCCCGCAAAGCTGGATCGAACTATTCTACTCAAATTAACAATTTGGTAGCTGGGTACATATTACTTTGGTGGTATAGATCTTATGATATTGGAACAGCAATCCAGAAGTTGCGAGTTCGAGTCCCGCATGATGCAGATAAATAACTTTGATATTAATCACAGAAACTTACTTAAATATTTCCGTATGAGGACCCCTACATTCAATATGATCTTCTAACTTCATCATTATGTCCCATTTTTTCGGATTTGCTTGTTGAAGATACAAAGCTCTTAAAATTATTAAAACGTCGAATCTACAAATAAGAACTTAATAAATATTGTCTAAGATATTTCATGCAAAAAGAAGATATTATCAATCAAAATAATTAGAACAAGATCTATAGAATTTTGCTATCCGAAAAGTCTGTTTTATTCAATCTTCTGTTTATCAATGTTAATATTTAAAGTGTTATTTTGCATTAAACAATTTCATTATAAATACCTGTAAAAGTTGTAAAATGATTTTATCTCACTAGGAGGTCTTAATCTTAGAATATTACATTCAAAGCCATGATAATTGGCTACTTTTAATCCTTCGCAGTTTAAGTTGCAAATAGGCCAAAGACATCCTGGACATCTTTCGCACATTTGATCACTGAGTAACCTACGAAAAATTAAAAATCATCAGTCGATTCCTATTATTGTGTTAAAGGTACGATGCTAAATTAATCTGAATATTTTTCTAGACATGATCTATATCTAGTTAGCGATGGAATAACAGAGGAGAGTCAAAAGAGCAAAACCCATGGAAGTATCTCAAAGACGAATAAGTAAGCACTTGTTTACTTGCAAGTTTTCAGTTTATGTTTTATTTGGTAAACATGAAGAGAGACTACGCCGTTGAACGAGACAGATAGAGCTATCGTCTCTACCATGGAGGAAGGATAGTTAAGAGTTGCCAAGTCTTTGTAGAAATTTGGCAACAAGTTTGCTTAAAGCGGCTAGTGGGTGCGGGTGGTTGAACTAATCCTACTCTGTCGGTAATGTAGTTACCTGTAATATTAACCATTACTCTGTCGATAATGTAGTTATTTATGTATGTAGTTATTTATATATAAATATTAATAAAATATTATATTTTTTAGAAACTAAATGTGAACCCCAGCAGAATATTTTTTGTCAGCTCGATTTTTTATTTCGTGACGTCATACCCTTTCTTAGCAACGGACGGAACAGTCCAGCGTGTTGTATACGAACCGTGGTCCGCTCCAATGATGGTCAGATGCTAGTAAAAACGTGTTATGAATGAACCAGAGTATAGCAGGAGCAAGGACAGAAGTTGGAAAGGCTTTTCGCAGTTCTCACACTTCATACACAGAAAATGGCAGTTTTGCGGCGGAGCTAAGCGAAGTGGAAGCGATACATTGGCGTACAAAGTTATTTTGTAAATGTTAAGGTAGTTCACTCGCGACAGTCGTACATAAAAATATCGCATAATAGTGAATACCAAAAGTTCGAGATTCTCAATGCTAATCAATTTTATTTTTGTAAGAGACTGTACAAAACACATGTATATAAACACATATGGACATGTTATAATTTTAATAAGATTCATCGGACAACCTCGCTAATATATGAACGGTATGGTAGAGAAATTTGTGACTTCCTTATATTAATTTTAAGGGTTTGTTTTGATTCAAACAAAACCGCTGATTCCAATTCTCAAACACAGTGGACGAATTATTTTTTCAAGAATACGTCGCGAGTTTATAACGACCTCTTAGCTGATCGAGTGTTGCTTTGTTACGTGAAGTGGTTACAATGTTGCCAAGTTGTAATAATTTTACGAAACTACTTGATAACTGCTATAAAAATATTTTTATTTTAAAAATCTCTATCTCTTTACTAAGAAGGTCAAAAAATTCAGCGATTTTTTATAAAATTTTATAACTTCTTGATTTATTTAACATTAGTTTTTAAAAAATATGGTAAGAACCGTTTTCGAGATATCTTAAAATAAATGCATTGCTTGTGTACATGACAGGCTTCAAGAGTGTTAATTATGCATATTTTGATTGTTAATATCTCGTTTCATAGACGGTCAAAAAATCTGATTTTTTTTTTAGTTACGTAAACGACATTTTCATAGACCTTATATTTCAATTTTATTGAATTCTTAAGAAAAGCCGTTTTACGAGTGAACTACCTTAATAACAATTTCGGGTAAACAGTTTAAAAATTATAAATCGCTGTTGAAATTTTGTAGAATTATGATTTGAGACATTATAATACTTATTTAATAAGTATTTCTAATCCATAAATAATAATAATAATAATAATAATAATATTTATTGACCTTTGAAGCCATATCTACAAAATATGAATAAGGTGTCATACATAAATAAATAAATAAAATGAACAAAGTAACAATGCAACACAGTACAATATAAAAATCTATAAAAATCTCATATATCAGCTAAGCAACCGTATACTGTAGGAACTCATCTAATGAATAGAAAACATTAACTGTTAATAGCTGCTTAAGATCTTTCTGGAAGCCTTGTAGGGTTTGATTATTTTTTATGTTTGATGGCAGTTTGTTAAAGAGGTAAGAACCGGCGTAGTATGGTGATTTTTTGTAGCTGGTATGGTAATGTTGTTTTAAATATATATTTTCAGCATTTCTGGTATTATACCCGTGTATATCTTTTTTCATTATGAGATTTCTTATTTTATTAAAAGTAAAAGACAATAATTTATAGAGGTATATTGCAGTAACAGTAAGAATTTTATTATTTTTAAATATTTCTCTACAACTATCCCTGTAACCCAAACTAAAAATTAACCGTAATATTCGTTTTTGGATAATAAATACGCGAGAGATATCTGATGCCTGTCCCCAAACAGTAATGTTGTAGTTAAGGGTTGAATATACATGGGCATAGTAAATTGTTATTAAAGATTCCTTTGGCATATCATTTTTAAGTGAATACAACATAAAATAGCTTTTATTAAGATTTTTGCAAATAATATCTATTTGTTCTCTGAAGTTTAGATTACAATCGACAAGTGTCCCAAGAAATTTAGTTTTATTTGCTGAATTTACTAATACATTAACTTTCTTGATATTTACATCAAAAGGTGATTGGACAAATTTTCTGTCGCCGTAGGAAAAATTAACACAAATTGTTTTTTCCAAGTTTAAAACCAATCTATTACAGTCACACCATTCTTTAAATGCCATAATAATATTTTTAACTTTTTCTACTACCTGTCCTAAAGAATCGGCAGATACTATTACTGTTGTGTCGTCAGCATAAATAAATATATCATCCTGATCTTTAAAATATTCAGGCATATCGTTAACGTACAGTAGAAAAAGTAATGGACCTAGTACTCCCCCTTGAGGGGTTCCTAGGTCATTATAAAATATATCAGACTGGATATTATCAACTGAAACAAAAAAAGGACGACTTAAAATATATGAATTTACCCATGAATTTACAGGGTCTCTTATACCGACTGCATTTAATTTTTGACATAAGATGTTTGGGTCCAAACAATCGAAAGCTCGCGATAAGTCAAAAAATACACCGTAAGCGTACAAGTTTTTATCAATTTTGTCGTGAATTGTTTGGGTAAATTCTACTGTGGCAGTTTCGCATGAATATCCACGTCGAAATCCATAATGTTTGCTTGTTATAATATTATTATTATCCAGATATGAGATAATGGAATTAAAAATAGCTTTTTCAAGAGTTTTTGCAACGACACTGAGGATGGATATACCTCTATAATTTGAAAGAATGTTAGTTGGCCCTTTTTTATAGATAGGTACGACCTTTGATACTTTTAGTATATCAGGAAATTTAGCAGACGTTACTGATTTGTTTATTATTTTGGTAAAGAATGGGGCAAGCTGCACATTCTTTCAAGAGAAATACAGGTATATCGTCAAAACCTGTAGACTTTTTATTTTTCAAACTTTTTATTACATCCACAATTTCAATATCTAACATTGGCCTAAAATAAAATGAGTCACACGGTGTTTTTTTTTTTGTTAGTGTACAAACAGTATCAGTTTCAGGTGGCAATATCGATAAAACGGAATCAACAAGAAATATAGCAAAACCATTACTCAAGTTACGTGTTGCTAAAACTGCTATATAGACAATAAATACTTCCTGTAAATAACTTTTATCTTATCATACTTTTATAAATTTTCCTAGAGATAAACATAGGTGTGGATTAAATGTAAATATATACATTATTCTTTAGCTTGACTTTGATCAATAAAGACATATTAAAAGTAGTTCTTAATTTTTTAAAAAATAATTTTCTATAAAGAAAATTAAAACTGGCGCAGTCAGTAGGATTCGTGCGAGCTGTGAATACTGTGTAAATTCAAAAAAATCGTTTTCTTCGAGTGATAGACTTGGACTTTTAGTCACTATCGTGCAGACTTTCACGGTTTTAACGTGTTAACGTTTTAAGCGCGAATTCTAACCAACGGTTCCCATCTGTGGAAAACCAACTATCAGCCCTTCAGTGGACATCCCAAAGTAAGCGAAGAATCGGAGAAGAGGATTTTGGAAGCCAGTTTCTTCTGCAAACGTAAGTGCCAAATTTTCCTTTTTTCGCCTTTCCCACCATTCATAGGTTTCGGAAAGATAATTTAAGTTGAATATTAATTTTTTATATACACGCATATGTTTTAATTTTTGATGAACGAATTTGATACTTTAGTCGGAGCTTTTAGTAATATCTCAATTAGTGAAAGTAATTCAGATATAAGAAATATGACGCCAACACCTAGTAATTCTACCCCTCAACGGGCCCAAATTAATTGGGACCTTTTCAAATCTAAACTAAATAATATCAAACCTTTTAATGGTGAAAGTGATTATTTAAATAAGTTTATTACTAGATGTGAGAAGTTTATTGATTCTTATAAGATTTATAATGATGTAGAATTAAACATACATGCATTTGAATGTGTACAAGAAAAATTAGAAGGTCGTGCCGAATTTATGGTAGGCAATAGAGTAGAAATTGATACTTGGCCAAAATTAAAAGATGCTTTGTTACAAGCTTTTGCAGATCGACGTGATCTTGATTGTCTGGTCCAAGAACTAACAAGGACTAAACCTCTTAAAGGTGAACACCTTATTGATTTTGGCAGTAGACTACAATTAATTAAAAGTAGCGTAGTACAGAGAATAAGCAATGACCTTTACATTGATCAAAATGATAAAATTTGTCAAATTAACCATTATAATAAGACAGCCTTAAATACTTTTATAGCTGGTTGTAGTGGAATTCTAAAAAATAACATGCACCTTAAAAAAACAGATTCTTTAGAGGATGCTATGGCGTAAGTAAAAGAATTTAATAATTTCCAAGATTTATACGGAAACATAAATGACAGAAATCTTCAACAAAATGGATTTTATTCTAATAATAACAGACAAACTTTTTCAAAAAATAATACAAATTTTAATCAAAATCACAATTTTAATCAAAATCACAATTTTAATCAAAATCACAATTTTAATCAAAATAGATTCCAAAATTTTGTACCAAATAATCAACAATTAAATACACGTTTCCAAAATTATCCAACAAACAGGCAAAATTTCCCTAGTCAGCCAATTAATGTAGAAC